TCACTATGGTAAGTTTATATAACCTGTTTCTTTATTTATTTTTGACAATAATTAAGTGGATTGTAGATAAATGTAGACTTTAATTATTTTAGATCATTTTACTCAATGGTGAACATTTCCGATTATTTGTGTAAATGTCGAAATTCTTATTAAGGTTGAACTATGAATCTTTTAATTACAGAGGTTGCTCAAAAATTCCGTAGATAAGTGTTGTTTCTCACAGGTACGATAAATTTATGAAACTCTAGAAATAGATTTATTATTTATACAAGAAATATATACCTAAGAAATTTATCTACAAATACTTAGTATTTTCACGGAAAAAAATCTATGCAGTGAATTAAATATTTGTATTCAATGTCTGATGCTTAAAGTCTGTGATGTATCCAAAAATCACAATATAAAAATAAAGGGTAAAAAATGGTTATAACAAAATTAATAAATTTGTCGTTATAGATCTATCATCAACTACTACCCCCCCCCCCCCCCCGAAAAAAAAATCAGAGTAGAAATCTAAATAAATGCTAATATAATAGCGCCCTTCATTAATACATGTAAATTATGTCATGACTTTTTGTTTGCTCGCGCAAACATTTCCGTGTAGATAAACCAAAATGAAACAATTATTTTCCTACATTTTGTTTGTGTAACGGTGTTACGTGTATAAATACGGTGTTACGTGTATAAATATTTTAAGTCAACAGTTTGTATCTGCTACAACTATGTGTCTGCTAAGCTGTCATAAATGTGGACATTTATATATCAGATACTTAAAACCTCGTATTAATTAACGAACATTGAATTATTGCATACTTTTTTGTTTAAAATACATAAGATCAAAAAAAAATAAATAAATATAAACAAAGTGAAATGCGACTTTTCGGACTAAATAATCATAAATTATTGCCATTAGACTTTGTGTTAACTGTTACTTAAAACATAATATTTAATATAGGTCTAAGTCGGCAAATAATTAATACCTTATAGATTAATTATGACAGTCTTAATCCAAGTTCAAGTTCAATTTATTCACCCAAACCAAAATATTGGTACATGGGGTTCATTAACAACATATATACATTATATACAATCTGGTCAGAGGTACATATACAAAACAAAAAACATGACATATGATTGAAAAGGAAAATAAATAAATAAGAGAGGGGAAAATATATATCAAGGAGGACAGACAGCATCATAAATTTTTAAAATAAACATACATAATTTTTTCAGCATTTTTTCATTTTTGGTTGACATTAATTCCATAAATTTAATAACATTAGGTCTGTGGGAAAAATAATTGCCCAGGTAATTTTTTCTTACATTAGCTAAAGTTTTACATTCTAAGATATAATGAAATTCATCAGCAGTTTGATTATTATTACAAAGTGTACAGATTCTATCACACAGTGGTATACCATACCATCTTCCAGTCTCTACTGGCAGATGATGATTTGCAGTTCGAAATTTTATAAATATTTTTCTAAATTTAGGAGATAACTTATCAATATAATGTTCAGATCCAAAGTTTTGTTTAAAGATTCTGTAAATCTGTCCTTTTGAAGAATTATTTACGTCACTAGACCACTTTTGAATAAATTGATCTTGTAATATTTGTTTTACAGAAGCAGTTATCCATTTATAATTCATATTGACACCCTGTTCGTACCATACATTTGATAAACCACACATATCACATATTTTCTGTATACAGTCTAACCATGGGTTTGTTAAGTTTCCATCACTGTACAGTATAAACATATGTTTGTATAAAACATTTACAATTTTATTTGGCGGGCCTGAAAAAAGCTTTGCCCAATATGAAATCATTCTACAATATACCGTAATATACAGAGGAAAGCGACCTGTTTCACCATAGACCATGTACGATGGTGTGGAACTTTTCAAATTAAATACATACTTTATAAACTTCAAGTGCAAACGCTCAATAATATCAAGATTTTCATAGCCCCATATTTCAGAGCCATATAGTAAGACTGGAACTACAACTCTATCAAAAAGGTCAAATTGACAGTCTACTGGTAATTGGAATTGTCTAATTTTTCTTATAATGCCATACATCGCTTTTTGTGCTTGTTCATACAAGTGTTTTTTTGTTTTACAAAAGGAACCTGTGCGTGAAAAAACAACGCCTAGATATTTAAACTCTCTAACATTTTCAATAACTAAGTTGTCGTAATAAAATTTTCTTTTTAACATAGGACCCTTTGAAAATACTAGAATCTTCGTTTTTTCAACATTCACTTTCAACTTCCATTGTAAACAATATGTCTGAAATTTATTGATTGCATCTTGTAATTCATCGGCTGATTCAGCCATAATAACAGTGTCATCCGCATAAAAGAGAATCAACAATTTAAAATACATTAGTAATTCGTTCTCAATGGTTCTTGAAATACTTTGTAAGCCTGCAATATTCTTGCTCAGTAAAAAATCTTCAAGATCATTAATATACATTGAAAATAAAAAAGGTGAAAGATTTTCTCCCTGCCTTACTCCTACATTACAACTAAAAAATTCTGTGGACATCCCATATCCCATATGAGGGATATTCGCAGGGCGGGGGTTTGAAGGTACATAACCAATTAAAAAATGAACAAAACAAGATCCGACCAAATAGCCAAAAATAATACTGACTTCTTAAATAAAGTCAAGTATGGAATGAAATCGATTAATAATAATACAGTCCGGTGTATTTATTCGTCTTGCGTAATCACGGCGGAACCAGGCGATCTCTTTAAATTTGTTTTATTTTCATCTGCCTTTCATTCCGAAAAAAAAAATAATATAAAAATAATGTGAGGTAAATTTCGTAGTTTAGAATGTAAGAATTATTTCAGCCTTATCTTCCATCAATAAAATTTATCAGAGAATTATTTCTAATTGTATTTACACAGAAAACCCGATGATCCGTAAGTTCATGTACATGTACCATAAGCATTAAAAACCCATAAATTGTACAATTATCTTATTTTCTTCGAATAAAATCTTTAATTTTCTATTAAGTGTTGTGCATACAAGTTATGAACAGAATCCTAAAATTAAGTAGATGCATTTCATTAGAACCGGGCAGTATTCAAGATAGGTAAATACTTGACATTACAGATGCGAGAGCAGCGCAGGTATGTTGACGGTGAATACACACGGGCCGAGGTGTCGTTTAGGGGGAAAAGGGGGAGGGGTGTCTTGACCAGACAGGAAGACAGTGTACTGATTAGAGAAGTACATGTAGGTGTCAGTTTTCTAGTAAGGAAAGCTCTTCGATTTTTCACTCAGATATACGCTATATTTCCAGTTCATTTCCACGCGGAAATAGGTAAGCTGTTGAAAGTAATCATGGTTTTTTCCTATAAATATTCTTTTTTCTAAATTTTCTGATGCCAGTAAGAAATATAAATGAAAAACTTCTATATAATAGTAAATATCATGGTATGATGAATTGGGTAGAGCATTTTCATGCATTTTATTTTGTAATTTGTATTCTTTATTAAGACAAATTAAGGAATTTAGATTAATAAATAGTGATAAAAAATAAATACAAAAATTGAGGATACGGACAAAATCAGTGTAAATGTCATCATGATCATTGTCTTATGCTTTATGAATCATTTGATATCAAAACATTAAATAATTGCACATACATGCTGATCAGAGGCATAAACACATAACAATTTTATCAGACAATGCCTCGGGAAAAAAATGAATATCGCTACTAAAAAAAAAAGATTCATTAGACCCGTGCTTATAATTTTTTTGGTACACATACATCCTACCTTTCCGGAAAGCTTCCTCTAGTGACTCTGACTATTTTAAGAAAATTATAATTCTAATTTTGACAAAAGAAAAAAAATATTCCTACAATTCGATAAATTAAAAAGAGACCAAGAGATCGATTATTACATTTCCGAAAATATGGTTTAAATTTCGATTAACGCTCTCTGCTTGACCATTATAAAACATTTTATTTATTTATTCATTTATATTTATTTATTTATTTATTTATTTATTTATTTATTTTATTCTTTTACTTCTACACTTTCTTTTAATGATGGAAAAACTAGTAAGGTATACATGTAAAACTTTCTTTTCCTCTTCTCAGTTGAAGTAATCGTAATTAAGTTAACAAAACGAAAAATAAACTCGGGGTATCTCGGAAGTTTCTTCCCATAATAAAGATAAAAAGCGAGGGTTTCCGAATGTACACGTTAAACGCAAAACACGATACACGATAGAACCTGATAAACGATCTTCACGATAAACGCAAAACACGATAAACGCAAAACACGATAGAAAACGCAAAACCTGATAAACGCAAAACACGATACGATAGGATACACGCACGATAGGATAGGATACACGCACGATAGGATAGGATAAACGCACGATAGGACACGATAGAATTGTAAAGAATAACGTTGCGGGTACTGTATAACATGAGCAAGCACATCGAAGCATCACCGTGATGTCTTACATTTAAATGCATTTCAAAATATTACGATTAGCTGCCTGTTGGTATGATGTTCATGTCGAATATTGTGATGTTTACCCTTTTATGATTATGTTTACACGAAATTCATAACTGGAATGCACAACGTTGTGTATTTCAAATTCGTGAACTCATCAGGTGTAGCAAATGCACTTTTTGACAGTGACAAGTTTATTGCAAGGTATACAGAACTATTACCCTACGGTTATGAGTAAACAAGACTGTACAACATCAAATCTTTTTATGATTCACATCCTCGTTAAGATAAGACGGTATTAAAAGATATATACACCAGAGAGAGAGAGTTTTAAATCAACATTTCATTTATATCTTCAAAATATATGGCACTTAATTATATGCTATGCTACAGAAATGTTATTCTTTAAAGTAATGAAAATTTGAAACATATACAGATACATGTACATGTAATTTCATTTTTGCTTTAATTGGCATAATCAATATAAATGTTCCAAAATTACTTAAGTAAACTTACCCAATTTTCCATTGGCCATTTTCGTTCAAGTATGAGATTATTATGTTTGTCCGTCTCTCCATCAATACTTCAGTTTCATTTATACTACAGTGACATATCATCAAATGCATGTCATCATAGCCACTCGCCGAGGGAAAAATTCATCATCTGATTGGTGGACAGTGAAGCGTGTCGAATACTCCGCATATTATCGGCAGCATCTTTCCTGGCAAAAATCTGGACGTTGACACAGTCAACCCTGATACACTGTCCGGTAAAGTGCGTTGTTTTAGGTCACACAAAGCGCAGAATGTCCCATTGAGTAAAACGTACATAGCCCTTTGTGATGCAAGATAAACTTGCGATATTGTCACAAAGACAAACCTAGCCCCTATAACTATTAAGCAATTTGTCATTTCATAGGCAGATGAAATCAGCCGAAATTATAAAAGTCAATTTAGGTTAATCTATCCACAAGATGTGACACAATGATATTTTAACGATTTTAAAATGTTTCGGTCAATGGTCTTTGCTGTGTGCAGATTTCTCCTCTTTCTTTCTTTCTCTCTCTCTCTCTCTTCTAGGATAGCTGATATCAGCCGAAGTATATTTCTGAAGCAAACATGTAGAGTTCTAGTTTTAGACTGAGAGCACAGTTTTTAAAATCTTATTCAAATGCTGTATGTTCATATAAATGTCATACAAATATTATATATATATATATATATATATATATATATATATATATATATATATATATATATATATATATATATATATATATATATATATATATATATATATATCCAAAATTGAAATAAAGTCTCAGTAATCGGATTACAATATTAAACAAATATAAAAAGAAAACACAAGAATCCTCCGTAAAGCTTTAGCGCTTTCATTAAAAATCTTCAGAAGCTTTACATTACAAAAATGTATACAACGGTAACATAGTAACAATGATTATTATGCTCAATGATTATTTTACTCAGCGTAAAATGTATGTGATTGTTTGTTCATCTGCTTTTTTTAAAAAATAAAATAAAAGATTAGTTAGCCGAACGTTTAAATCATCTGTTAGTTTGTGAAAGTTAATGACGCATTGCAATTTTATCCTTATGAAGACTGCATAAATCCAAGCCATTACTTTATATGCTAATTAAGCTGTTTATTGATTTACACATTTGAAGAATAAGAAGGAAAGTTGTTTGGTAAAAGGTCTACCATTAATATTTTTTTAGGATATAAGTGACTTTAAACAAAACTATGAAAATCTCTCTAACTATTTAGTTCAAAGATAAAAAAAAAAATAGATTCCCAGTAGAACATTTTAAAATACATCACTCTGAAAAAAAAATAGTAGAATAAGATTAGAAAGGGGAATAGACATATTGTCACAATACTTTAAGAATAGTTTTGCGTGCAAACTTTGTACATGTCATATGAATTGATTCAAGCGAATTCATAAAGTTCACGCTTTTCCACATTTACACATAATTACATGTATATATATAATCGGTCAATATCTAGTAATCGATTAACCGGTTTTTACCGACAACTCGGTCAAAGAAAGAGAATCATATATCTGTCGTACATACTTTAGTCTCTTAAAAAAGAAATTGGAAAGCAACATTTTGATGTTGTTAAAACATTAATCAGCACAAGAATTTCACCATCACATACAAATGTGTCCACGAATTTCAAGGTTATAATCAACTTAAACATTCAAAATAGACATTTTTAAAATAACTTCGTTCAATAGTACATGGATATATTTGATAGTTCCATTTGTCCATTTCTAGTGATTAAAATAGTACAGAGATCATAATATTGGAAGGGGAAGTATCAGAGAGGGCTGAATTCTTTGATTTTGCAGAGGAAAAGGCGTCTACAAGACATATAGACCTAAGTATACATGTGGCAAACAAGGATTCATTTTTTACATTCCCGGCAATTAATGTTTCCAAATACATTATTCATCATGTTAGTTATTTCAGTCTTAGAATAAAGTGTTGAGACCTAGAAAGTCAAAGAAAGCAATGAAAAAAATATAATTATCAGATTGATTTAAAGACAATTGCTCCAACCAGAGGCCCGTGGGCAACAACGCTCACCTGAGAAACTTTAGCCCTGCTGTTCTTTAAAAGATTTCCAAAAAAGATTTCTATATTCCCATGAAAAATTGTGACCCGGTATTATAGCCTAAGGGTCTCTGAATTCACATAACATGTGGATGCTTCAATATCATTATGACTATCATGGCCTTGCAATAATGGAGAAGAAAATTCTTTTCCTGTATACATATATTATGTAAAATTTGATATGTTTGCATATGAATGCTGCGATCGTGGTTCTTCAGAAAATTTTCAAAATTTATTCCTTATAACGTCCCATGTAAAACTTTGATCTTCTATTGTGATTAAGAATCTACATCATCTCAGGAAGCTTTCACGTAAGTTTCATCTCTTCTGGCGCAGTGGTTCTAAGAAGTATATTTCCTATATCTTTCAATGTAAATTTTGATAAAAAAAATCATATATATCCCCTATTGTGGCCACTCTCTACCCCGAGGGGGGCATGATTTGCACAATTTAGAATCTACAGTACCTCATGAAGCTTTCACACAAGTTTCATCTCGACTAGTCTAGTGGTTCTTGAGAAGAAGATTTTTTAATGACCCCATCCTTTTTTGCCTTTCCTTGCTTATCTCCCCTTGGAATAGGACTTGGCTCTTCCAATCCACAGACGAACTGTGGATTGGGAAGAAACTACTAGTAATCAATGTGAGGAATGGAATGCAGAGCAAAACGTTAAATATTTGAAAGGAACGTGCAATGGTTGTTATTTTTTTCCTATGTTGAAGGGTGAAATAAAATTGAAGGGGAAAAAACCGAACTGAAATCTACACACGATGAACAGATTTTTCGCGCTTTAAATGTGCCTGTTTTATTTTACCTGTTTTGAAAATTAAATCAAGCGAAAGTTGAATCGATATCGAGGCTCTAAAGGCATGACTCCCCTACATGGACAAAATAAGCGAGTCAGTAAAGATGGCCATCAGATTTGCTTACACAACAACTACAACACTAGTTTGGATATGTAGACCTTACCAGTTTGAAAAAGAAGCAGATTCTGTCGAGAACTCGAGATTTCGATTTCAAAACAACCTAGAGCCTATCAAATGTCACTGTTCACTGACTACTGTCACAGTCCTCTGCTCAATACCACAGGCTGTGTGCTGTCACTGTTCACTGACTACTGTCACAGTCCTCTGCTCATTACTACAAGCTGCTTGCTGTCACTATTCACTGACTACTGTCACAGCCATATGATCACTACCACAAGCTGCTTGCTGTTACTGTTCCCTGACTACTGCCACAGTCATCTGCTCACCCACAAGCTGCGTGCTGTCACTGTTCACTGACTACTGCCACAGCCATCTGCCCACTACTATTGCTGTTTACTGCCATTATGCCCATATTTTCTAGATGAGTGATCAATCGATATTTCTGCGACAGTTTCAGTCCCAAATACCTAAAAGTCCTACCTTGCGCAGAAGTCTGAAAATGAATTTTAAAAAAGACCTTACCCTGTATACATAAAAGTAGATCGCAGGTATTACAACTGTCACTCCTGACAGTAGCTTCTAGTTAACTGACTACTGCACACCCTTCTGCTTCATGTAGCTATCATCCCCGATTGTTCAAGTTTGGATATTTTTTGCATGCAGAAAATTAATTATTGGGCCATTGGAATTTTTGAAAAGCATAATTGCACAGAAATTCAAAACTGTCACAAAACTTCATTTAAAAAAAAATCACGATGATTTTGCAATACTCAGAGACTAGAAAATATTTTTGGGATAAACCTCTATACAGATATAAAGGTTTTAGATAAAAGTTATATAAATTAAAGTTTCAAGGGCCATTTGTCAAACAAAAAAATCACAATTGGGCTCACTATGTAATCGACTTCTTGTTCAATAAAATTTACATTTTGTGAAGAAGAAAAATATCAAACTGAACAATTAAAAATTACGACCAATCACAGTTAAGATGTTTGATACATGTATCTGACGTCCGCCATCGTCATTGGTTTTCTTTGAGGTTGAGGTAGTGTCATTTTTTTTCAGGCAAAGGGCAATAACTTCCTTTATGGTTTAAAGCTAAAATTATCAGACTATAGTCCTGCTGGACACGTCATTACTGATGACGTAAATATAGTTAATAATGAGGACCTTATTATTTTAAAGGGGTCAAAATTTAGGGAACCACGATCTTTCAACTGGCGTTATAATTTCATAAATATTATGAATTCTGTGGAACATAACGCCAGACGATGGGCCAAACATGAAAAAGAAGACATTGACACTTTGTCAGAATAGATCAAAGGTATCAGATGGATGTTGAAATCTCGCATTAAGAGACTGAGGGGCAATATGAAAATCATCTATCCTTCTGTATTCAATAATTCAGAAGTGAAAACAGGTTTAGATAGATTACACGATCAGTATGTACTGGTCCCAGGTGACAAAGCAGGTAACAATATTGTCTTTGTTTGTAAAGCTCATTATTTTAATTGTAATTTAGAAGAACTGGGGTTTAATTCTGCAAATGGTAATCCAACTTGTTCCCATAATTCCCTTTTTAAGGAGGAATTTTTTTTTTTCAAAATCATAGGTCAGTTTTAAATATTTTTGATATTCCCAAAAATCAAAATGATTTTGAATTGCCATACCTATAATAGATTCCTAAACTTCATAAAAATCCTTACAAACAAAGATACATAGAGGGTTCCAGTAAATTTACTCCTCACTAAAATATTAACAGCAGTGAAGGAGAAACTTCAGGAGTATTGTACAACAATATATTCGAGAAGTGGTGTAAATCAGATGTGGATACTTAAAAACTCCAAGAAACTTTTAGAAAATTTGAAATAAAAAAATTACCAAAATCAATAACGTACGAATTTTCAACACTTTATACAACCATTCACCAGGATGAATTAAAGTCCAGACTTTCTCACTTCATAGACATCTACTTTTTTTTAAAAATGGAACTTGTAAATTTACTTACCTTGTCATCGGTCATTTGCAAAATTATTTTGTTAAAAAACAATCTGACTGTACACACAAGCACTCTGAAGTAGATATT